AAAGTGAGCAACTAATAAGTATGTCCATTAAGACAACCCCTGAGGTATTTGCAGTGATGGATCTCAGAACTGAGAAAGGAGGATGTAGCCTGACCCCCTTAACCCTGTGGTGTGATCCTGGATGCAAGTGATCACTACTGGTCAGCACAAGGGCTGGCTGGAATCTCTGCTTTCCTATGGCTCTGGAGGTGCCAGGGGATGAGTGCTACTGTCATCACACCCCTTCCCCCCAAGTTCAGCAACAGAGGAAAAGTGGGGGGATGAATGGTGGTGGGGCTCAGCCCCAGTTTCTCATGTTTCAGGAGCCCAGAGGCTAAGCATTGCTCCTTGTCTGCAATTTTCCCCTGCTGCTGAATTCAGCCACTGATGGTGGGTGGGTGCTAAGGAGGAAGGGAAAGCAACAGCAGTGCTCATCCCCTGGGCTTGAGCTGTATGAAAATGAGCTCCAACCAGATGCCATGTCAAACAGCTGGTGAGCCCAGAGCTCACAGCACATGGCACACAGCCAAAGGGGATGTGACCATGGCACCAATTTGCCCCTGGGTATTACTATTTATGCAGTTTTTTGGCTTGGCATTCATTCAGGACTTGTCTTCACTATAAAAATTAGCACCAGGTTCTCTCCTCCCAAGCTACCCACATTGTGAAACAGCACTGGATCCTGGACTGATCAGTAGCTGATGAATTATGCAAGTTAATATAAACCATGCCTCTGGCTGTAACCCCACTGTATTATTTGCTCTAGCATCAGCAACAATAGAGTTTTTGTTTCAAGCCCAGCGAAAATCAAGCTAGAATATTTCTGTGTGGATGTTAGCAAAGCTGTGGATAATGTTCAAGGTATCATTTAAACTAACAGCAGTAAAGAGAACCATCTGATAAATTCCTGTTGAAGTTTATCCTAGTGAGGGCTGATATAGAAATGAGGAGTTGATTCCAAGTTTAAACAATTCATCCAAAATATTTTCAAGGTGGCTGAGCAAGTATTTGAATGTATGTAGCCTTTGAATATTTTCAAGGCATTGACTTATTTTTTTATTTCTCTTCTCCTTTCTAGGTAGGAACTTCCAACTTCCTATATCCCACTGGTAATTTTTTTTCATATTTCCCCCTGTGGCTACAGGTAATGTGATAGAATGCTTAATGTACTCATGTTTTTATGAATTACAGTATCAGGCTCATGAGTGTGGGCAATCTCAGAATAGGCTGTTCTTTCATTTTATTATATTCTATATATTTAAAAAACCCAGTGAAATCCACAAGTGCCTATTTCTGTTCACACACAAAATTATGAAGGAGAGATATAGATGGTTAGAAGGTGGTGGAGACTCACGTGTTAAAAAATGAGCTGAAGGTGTTGAATAAATATAGCAGTGCCTTGTCAGCCTTAAGATAGCAGAGCCCTACATCTTAATGTTAGCACAGCGTTTTCATTTCAGAAGCTGCTGTACTGGTTCTAATTCATTTTTAATGGCTATCTTTATTCTGGAGCATTTAGAATATAGTGTAAATTATCCACATAGTAGCTTATATCAGTTTTTCTGGTATGGATGGAAAGCTACCTGCAGTCATATAACTAAGGGTTTGGGGCAAGGAGGCACCAGCCCCAAGCACTGACTTGGGGGTGGGGTGTGTAAAAACAGGAGCTGCCATGGGTGCACAAGTACCCAGCTCCACCTTTAACTATCTGAATATTTTTTCCTGACTCCCTCAAGTTTTGCAAAGAAAGGTTCCCTCTTTTTGTAGTTTTCACCAAGCCTCTATGTTACCTACTCTTT